TTTTTTTTTTTTTTTAACGTTTACCTATTTTTTTGGGACAGAGAGAGACAGAGCATGAACGGGGGAGGGACAGAGAGAGAGGGAGACACAGAATCAGAAACAGGCTCCAGGCTCTGAGCCATCAGCCCAGAGCCCGACGCGGGGCTCGAACTCACGGACTGCGAGATCGTGACCTGGCTGAAGTCGGACGCCCAACCGACTGCGCCACCCAGGCGCCCCTAATGTTTTCATTTTAAACAAGCTTTGGTTAGCTTTCCCTTTTCCTGTTTGTCACACATTTGGTTGTGAGTTTGTACCTGACCTTCCTCGTTAAGGATAATAAATTCAGCAAGGTGGTGATGGGCAAGTGGGCCCAGAGAAGCAATAGAAGGAGGAGGAAGGAAGCGGTTTACAACTTGCCAACGGATGAGTTCCTTTTTGTTTGCTTTTTAAATCTTGATTTGATTTTGGAAGACCTTCTTTCCTCCCCTCCTATTCAGTATGACAGTTTTTCTCAAAGTTAAAAGGAACTAAATGAAATGTGTTTAATGGATTTTAAGAGGTGTTTACAGTGCTCTTTCAAATAGCTGATGTTGGCAGTTTGACCAGACCAGGGCTGGACATCGCCAGGCTGGCTCTTTAGCTGCCTGCAAATGGGGCCTTTCTCCAATGTCAAGGGTGAGATTCTCCTGTTGGCATCTTGTTATGGGCTGAATGTTTGTGGCCTCCTGAAATACATGTATTGAAGCCCTAACCTCCAGTGTGAGGCTATTTGGAGGTGGGGGTCTTTAGGAGATAATGGGTTAGATGAGGTCAGGAGGGCGGGGCTTCCATGATGGGATTAGTGATCTTTAAGAAAAAAATTTTTTTTAACGTTTATTTATTTTTGAGATAGAGAGAGACAGAGCATGAATGCGGGAGGGTCAGAGAGAGAAGGAGACACAGAATCTGAAACAGGCTTCAGGCTCTGAGCTGTCAGCACAGAGCCTGACATGGAGCTCGGGGCTCAAACTCATGGACCGCGAGATCATGACCTGAGCCAAAGTCGGACGCTCAACCGACTGAGCCACCCAGGCGCCCCAATGGGATTGGTGATCTTATAGGAAGAGAAAGAGAGACCAGAGCTTGGTGCCCTGTAAGCACACAGAGAGAAGGTGACCATTTGCAAGCCAGCAAGAGGGTTCTTACTGGGAAGAGAATCTGCCGGCGCCTAGATCTTGGACCTCCCAGCCTCCAGAACCTGGAGAAGTAAATGTCTGTTGTTTAAACTTCCCAGTCTAGGCCTTGTGATAGCAGCCTGAGCAGACTAGGACACTCCCCATTTTGTCTCTCCTGTTAGGAGAGACCCAGAGCTTCCTGCTAGACCCTCCTCATTTGCCTCCTAATCCATAGTCCCCTCGGAGGAGCAGTTCCATGCAGGGAGCCCTCTGAGTTCACCTGCAGGGTCACGTTCATTCCAGGCTGTACACCTTCATGGGGAAAAATTGAAACCCTGGAGTGTCACTGGGAATGTTGAGTGGGGCTGGTTTGTTCTAAAACAAAGAACTCAAGGACATCATGCTTGCCATCTTCAAATATCCAAAAGGACGGTTGTGTTCGAAAGGGAAGGCACTTGTTCATTGTTGCTGGATTCAAAGGAGGAAGTGGATTGAAATTCATCTTGCAGAGGAGACCTTGATCAATGAACGCTGCCCAGCCCAGGCTAGGCTGCCTATGGAGGGGATGAGCTCCCTGTCTCCAGAGGTGTGCAAGTATCCCTAAAGGATACTTACGAGGAGACTCATGACCTGTGGAGTGGGGACATTCTACCGCATGGCTTCTAAGCCTCCCATCCCCCAGCTCTGAGACTGCACAGCTTCAGGATTGTTTAGTTGGGAAAGCAATTAAAGAAATCCACTGACGTGAGGACCAAGCTATAAAAAAAAATCTTTATTTCATGTACCAGGATTTTTTTCTTTTTTTTTTCTTTTTTAAGTTTTCTGCTTTTTAAAATTTTTTTTTTTCTGTTAACAGTCTGAAAAAAAAAAAAAAAAAAAAAAAAAAGGACCCACCAAGAAAATAAATCGGAGGTTGGTTTCTTGAACTGGTTTGAGCTGGGCATGAGCAATCAGCTGCCCTGGCGAGCAGTGCCCTTGACAGCCCCCCTCCCCGCTCCCTCCCTTCGGGCCCCCTAGCCCTTTCTCCACAGTGCTGGCTTCACCCTGCACCCAGATGGCCTTCTCCAAGCGACCCAGGCCCCAGCCTGGAAAGAAGCGCCAGTTGCTACCCCACAAACACTCTGCCAAAACCCAGAGCACTGGGGCCAATTTTCCTCTTCCGACAGCACCCGTTTGTCTGCTGTTTTCCTGGGGCCTCTCCTTCTCTCTAGTCCTTCATCTTTTTCAGGTTTGGAAGCTGGTGGGGTGAGGGAGGGAGAGAGACTGCGATTTCTGCCCAGACCGAGAAGGGCTGTGTTGCCACCGCGCTAGCCTTGGCCGCCTTGGCTCTGCCCCCGGGGGGGCGTGGCCTTCTGTGCGCTGGGGGACCAGCAGATGTTCTGCCTTGTGGCTCAGGCTGAGTTTAGGGTTCCAGCTGCAGCTGACTTGAAAAAAGGGCTTTCCTTTCCTACTCCCCGCAACTCTCCAGAGCTCAACTTTAGGAACTTCAGGCCAGGCCAGTGCGAAGCAAACCAAGTGGGGGCCAGCAGGGGCCCCCCACTTTGAGCAGAGTGGCTGGCAGGCTGGGCTGAAATCCACACTTGAGAAAGCTGTTGGGTTTCCGTTAGTCGGAACTGGCCTTTGATGGTCTGGGAAGAAGGTGGGGGAGCAACACGGGACGCCCCAGACTTTAGTCCATGGTGTCAGCTTAATTTGGGGGGTTGGTCCTCAACCTGCGATCCCCTCCGTCCCCTCAACCTTAACCCCTCCCAGCAAACCTCAGAGGATCCTCTTTTTCTCTGACCCCCAAAGGCAGTGGGGAAGGCCTGGCGGTTGTTAATCTCTTCTCTCAGAGAAGCCCCCTTCACTCTCTGTGACTGGGTTATGGCACTAAAGAAAGGGGACACCAAATGAAGAGTGACTTTAGGGACCTCTGGTGCCTTCTCCCTCTCTGTCTGAATGGCAGGATATGTTTGCTCACATGTGTGTATTTTTGCTCTGACATTGGATGTGGGGGCAGGGGCTTGGGAGCACAGTGAGGAGGCATATGGGGTGTGTGTGTGTGTGTGTGTGTGTGTGTGTGTGTGTGTGTGTGGTTGTTGTCAATGGCTTTGGAGGGCATGAGTCAGTGTTCTCTGAACCCTGCCTCTGGCTATGTATGGGAAGGAAAGGGTTTAGGCTGAGAGTGTATCCCAGCGTGTGATTGGAGCACAGGGCCCGGAGGAGTGTGTATGTGTGCGTATGTGAGTGTGTGTGAGTGGGTATTCGATCTCCTTCGTGTAGACCGGGTTCTCCATCGTGATTCTCTCTCTCTCTCACATTAGCAGCACCTTCCTGGTATAAGGAAGAGATCTTTCCTCACAGAACCCCCCTGTCTCTCCCCCCAGGGCCCTCCTCCTCTCCCTCCCCCTGAGCCCAGCCCTTATATCTTGCAGCAGTTTGGTTTTGTTTTGTTCTTTAATGGATTTGTATATTTGTTTTCTGTTTTCTCTTTACAAGTTCCCTGCTAAATTTTAAGTCCCCCACCCCACCCCATTGTTTTGTTTTCACAGTTTAAAGCTGGAAAAGAATTAAAAGAAAAATACTATCTGATTTTCTTGCAAGTAAATCCACTTATTATATATTTACATTTATTTATAGTCTGTGGTTTTTTTATTAAAAAAAAATCACCACTTGTTTTTCCTTTTTCTTTTGTAAAAAGAAACCTTTTTGCAGTGTCGTTGTTGGACTCGCTGGGCCCCCGGGAGGGGGGCTTCAGTGAGTCCAAGGACCCCCAAAGGGTCAATGAGCCCCCCTTCCCAGGGGGCCGGGGGCCTATGAGTCTGGGGGTCCACCATCGCCCCAGGGTCATCAAGTGGCCCTGAGGTGAGAGGTGAGGAGGGAGAGCTGCTTTATAACCCCCCGGGGGGTGAGCATCTCCCGCTCCTAGGGACAGGAGCTTGGGGTGGTGACCCCAAAAGCTCACCCTGAGGATTCCAGGGTTTCCGGGCATCTTGCAAGCCAAAGGCAGCCATCCCCTCTCCTTCCCCTCCCTCAAGGCCTAGGAAGTCATCACAGTGGGTTAAGGACCATTAAGGACTGGGAACTTGGGCGCTACGCAAGCCCCAAGTGCACCCCCCCTCCAGGCACCTTTCGGACAGGAGGGACCAAGGACTCTAGGGTCACCTGGAGGCCTGCAATTGCCCCGTCGATGCTGGGTGGAGCCGGCTCGCAAGCCTCGCGAGCCTCGGAGCTTGCCCAGCGTTCCTGGGGCAACCATCCAGAGGCTCCAGGGACCTGGCAGTGACCGAGGGGCTCACCGGGCCCCGGGGCCCCTGAGTCTCCACCCCCCCACTCGCCCAGGGAGGCAGAGCCCGCTTGGGGTTAAAGAGAACAGAAAAGTTAACTCTCCCGCATTAAAACAAAAAGTAACATAAACCCCTGATAAATGCAGAGAACATCCCCCTTCCTTTCCGCTCCCTCTCATTTTTTTGCTTTAATGTTATCTTGGTTCCCTTTTATTTTTTCGTTTAAATTGGTTTTTATTAAATGTTAAAATAATGGTACATGGGAAATCATGCATTTTCTTTTAGATTTATTTTCTATTTTAAATTTTTTATCCTCTCTCGCTTTTTTTTTTTTAAAGTTTGTTTTTCTTTCCCTCGGTTAATATTTTTTCACATTTCCTGTCGTTTTGCTTCTGTGTTCCTCTTATATTTTGTTCTTTTTTTTTCAAATTTACTTGTTATGTTTTTCTCTTTTTTTGTTTTTT